TTTGTTGTCAAGGAGGTAGCAGTTCTAAAGAATGGGAGTGAATTGACGTACTACATTTTTACATGCCCGATGCCATGGCGTTTTCTGACGAAAGCTGATCAATCACACGCCTCATAGGTGATGACACATCATCACGGATTGCGGTGGAATGATGGGATGGTACCATATCGTATGGCGCAGCGTTTGTTTTCAGAAGCTGTTGGTAGAGAAAATGGGGCAATTGTATATGTGAAGGGATTTGAAAAACGGGGGTAGTTACCAGACAGACTTTTGAACAATGATGACATTATAGTGGAAACGATCAATGTGCATTACGGTGAGATTGAATCGCTTAAAATTTTAGACGCTACCAATACGTATCGGTGTGGAAGACATAGTAAATGTTGCGCGTTACAGAATGTGTTAAAACTATTTATTCAGTGGAAGCGATTTCAAAGCAAGTAATACTATACCTTTGTATCTTTATTTTATATATATAAACAAGTAATACCTTTATATATCTTTTTATATACTCGATGTATGTGCTTATTATAGCGTGCTTTTTATTAAAATTAAAAGAAAAATTTGAATCGATAGATTTCTTTTTTCATTACACATATCCTGAGTGTATGTATGTGTGAAGATACCACATCCTTTGAATATGATAAGATGCGTCATGGTTGTCTATTTTTTATATACATCCTTTATTTGTAATATGTGTATTAGATAAGATGGGGGGTTGTGGTTTTTGATGTTTCCGACGATGGAACGATATATAACTGCGTACGGGGTAAGGTTCTTTTCACATTGAGTTTTGGAATGCTTAATATGTCAAGCGATAACAGTTCGCACGAAAGTACGAACAGCGATAACAGATGATAATAGTTCGAACGAGAGTACGGACAACGATCTGTATTGACGAGCGTCTGTTATCGAGTTCTACGTTGGTTACATCTTGTATAAAGGAGAAGAGGTGTTGGAATTTAGCTACACATCATTTACGGAGAGAAATTGGAAATCACTGTTCGCGAGAGATTTTATGGATGAAAAGCGCGGTAGTTCTTGTTGATGATCGTACAAGAAGGTATGAGAACGCAGATGTGAAAGGTGTGCGAAAAATCAGTGATATTCAAAGGATTTCTGAAAAAATTAAATTCGATATACCTACAGTTGTGGTGAAACGCTCTGGTTCACGTGTAAGCGAGGGCAGGAATTTTTTTAATATAGAGAGATGGATAAGGAGGTGGAGGATCTTTTTAATCGTGCG